ATTAAAACTGAGTTAATTTATTTTAATATCACTATATAACATCCTGCTTTAGAGGGGCAGACAAAAAATATGTTAAACCCCAAGATGATCTGTGTTTACTATAATTCAGATCTGAAATTTCCCTCAAAAGCCCATATATTAGAGGCTTCATTCCTAGTTTGATGCTATAAAGAAATAGTGGAAAAGTTTAAAAAGTGAGATTAAATGAGAGTTCTATGTTATTGAACCTAAACTCCTACCTGGCTGCCAAAATATTGGGTTTTTATTTGTTTTTTTTTCTTCTGTAAGCTGTCTGATATCCCATTCTAATGATTACTGAAGACAATGAAAGGGATTTTATCTATCTCTCACTTTCAAAGGCAAACAATGAATGGTTTTAAAAAGAAAGACAAACATCAGTAATATGCCAGCCAACTGGAGAAAAGGAACCTGGCTGTGGCCTAGTAAACATGCTTTCCTCTATTTTAGGGACTAAGTATCCTGGTCCAGGTTTCAGCTTTAAATGCAGCCAAAAAATAAGAAAGAAGAAAAGAAAAGAAGAGAGAGTGAAAGAAGAAAGGGAGGAAGGAGGGAGGGAGGGAGGGAGGGAGAAAAAAAGAAGGAAAGAAAGAAGCCAAAGACTAATATCTGGCTCCTTGGAGAACTTATGAACTTAATGTAGATTGCAGCACCTTTTATTTCTTGGTTTAAGTGTGTTTCATAGTTATTGCAGGATAAGACTGCAACACCCCAAGAGACCTATGGCTCCGCTGAAACCTACCGTGGACGGCTCTTTCACCCTCATGATGTTGGTCATACTACAATATGCATCTCCTACCAGATTTCGTATATCCCCTGACTCACCTCACGTTCGCTCCCCAGCTCCAACCCCCAATTCTTGGTAGTTGACTCATTAATAAAACAACAATGCACAAGTCTTTACCTTGAAGTTTAATTTCCGGGAAGTCCAAGTATTCAAATTATGTGCCTTTTGAACCAGAATTGGATACAAATATTTATCTCACTGGATGAACAAGGGAGAGAAAGCAGCCCTGGAGGGAGAGAAGAGCGAAAGGCAGTAAACATCATAATGAAGAGGTGGCAGGGTGACAACTAAGCCTCTTGTTTGTGTACACAGAAAAACGTAAAATATTCTTCACAATGGTCCCTCCAGTCAAGTTATTTAGGACTAAAAGTAGCAATCAAATCCTTCAGTAAACTATACACACCATAAGGCTAGAAAGAACGCAGTCTTTATGTACTAACTACCACCTGCCCCTGGAGGTTGAAGGATGCTCTTGAAGGCCTTGTATCCCAGATTTTCTGGTTCAGTAAACCATCTGTCCTGTCCACTTTTCCTTCAGATGAAGAAGCATCAGGCAGGAGGGCAGAGGCATTAAGCTGAGAAGTTGGTGAGTGAAGGAACGTGGGTGATGCTTACTAGGCAGGTTCTTTGTCGTTCTTATTCTTTGTATGATTAGAGAAATGGCATCATTTATTCTACTGGATTGTATCTTGTACTGTTGTGGTCTTTCACCTCTACCATCCCTAGTGTTCTTTGGTTACTTCTGGGAGTCCCAGAATGATGCTTCTGAATCACTCACAAAACAGAGCTCCTAAGGACAGGGTAATGTCATCATCTTTCTTCCTCTCACTATCTCTCTTAGAGGCCTGATCAGGAGCCCCAACCATGTGATCATTGGTGTTTCTAGTAGCCAGGCTCGTGAAATTGTGTTGTTACATCATTTCCATTTCCTGTTACCTTCAACCAGTGACTACCACCTCACATGTCCTATGTCCCACTTCTTAATCATCACAGCATTCCTGAAGGGAGAGTATGGCACTTTCTAAGTCTCAGGGTAACTGGATTGGAAAACTGCATTTTTCATATCCATTTCATTGGAAACTGAAACATATCCTTAAAACTGGGCTTATGAACAATAGCAAATATTCATAATTCTGAGCCAATAATATTTAATCTCCTCCTTACTTCAGAAGACACATTCTTGTTCTCTTTGAATACTATTTAGGAAGAGAAGTTAAACTGAGTGAAGTCAAGAAAGTTGCCCAAGATTATGATAGAACTGTAACTGACTCCAAAGCCCAGTCTGCTACTTTGAAACACGGTGTTAACTACCATAAGGATGTCCTCTGTCCTTCTTGTGTCCTGTGTTTACTACTGATAAGGACTTTGAAGCCTAAAGAGCAAGGTCCAATGTTGGAGGGCCTTAGGTATGAATTATAGCTTTACTGAACCCTGGGTTGCCTCCTCTAGACATTTTCCAGGGCCCAGTCAGTTGGAGTTAGGGAGGGAATGCTAACACTGTAGAGCTTTTAGACAGGTGTCAATGCCTTTATTTTTGTGTAGTTTACAAACTTTCTTCCTTCCTGAATCACTTCTAACTAGTAACCCCGAAGATAAAGAGATTATTATAACTTTCAGCCTTTAGGTATGCGGCAAGGATGAACCCACAGAACTTATTTCCTGCTACTCACGGACTTATTTGTTCAGGCTGCCAGTGCTAACTTCTTGCCTCTGTGAGAGATATTCACCCAAATTTGGGATTTCTTAATGAGTTCTAAATCTCTAACTAGGAAATGATCATGCACTTCACAGTTGCATACCCAAAAGACTCTCATTTCTAGTCTTGGAGTTTCCCTTTAGATTTCTGAGCTGTTTTCTTTTTTACACAATTTTACCCATAAAAATTGGAGTGCAGTTCCCATCCTGGGCAGCATTATACATAAGTTATTCAAAGGCTTTCTTTCAAGGTCTATGAAAATGTCACTAAGAAGGGTGAGAACCATTGCAGTCCAACCCAGTATACATATACCCATATTTTATGTATTGATATTAAGAATTAAAACAGTAAGATGGGTAATACTTTTGCACATGATAAGGTGAAGTGTTGACCCAAATCTCAGATCCTTTTGAAAAGTGAATTCCTCAGCTTATGTGTGATTTCCCCTCTGTATGCTGTGAGTTTGTTTTATCACCACTGGTTAATACAGAAGCTGCTTTTATCCTACAGCAGGGCAGAATAGAACAAGGCAGAATATTCCTAGCAGAGACAGAGGAGATAAAAGGCAGAGTCAAGGAGCCGCCAGCCAGAATCTTACTGGTAAACCACAAGTCTTATGGTAAAATATAAAATAATAGAAACAGGCTAGTTTAAGATATAAGAGTTAGTTAATAAGAAACCCAAGCTAATAGGCCAAGCAGTGTTATAATTAATATAGTTTCTGTGTGATTATTTTGGGTCTGGGTGGCCAGGGAAATGAACAGACAGCTTCCATCTACACTCAGCCACTTATTATTTTGGCTTCTGGTGAAACAACTGAGTTTCAAAGGGAAAAATAACAAGTTTGCCACCATTTCACTGTCAACTTCATTAAATTGTCAACAGTTGTGAGAAACATTACTTAGCACCCCTGGTAGTAGGAGATGCAGAGCCTGAACTGGCTATCCCCTGTCGCCAGCTTTGTGACAACCACGATTGTCGTTGGAGAGCCTTTATCCAGTGACTGATGGGGGCAGATTCAAAGGCACACGCCAAATATTGGACTGAGCTCAGGGAATTCTACTGACAAGGGCATTTAAATCTTTAAGAGAGGGAGGAAGAGTTATAAGAGCCGGGGGGACCAGGGACATCACAGCAAAACCTACAGAAATGGCTAGCCTGGCTCTGGAAACTCAGAGTCTGAAACAACAACCAGGGAGCCCGCATGGAACCAACTGTGGCCCTACGCATATATCTGACAGTTCTGTAATTTGGTCTATTTGTGGTACTCCTGGCAATAGGAGCAGGGACTGTTTCTGGTGCTCGGGTTGGCTCTTAGAAATCTGTTCTTAATGCTGGATTGCCTTGCCCTGCCTGAATACAAAACGAGAAGCTTGGCCTTATGGCATCTTGGCATGCCATGCTTTGCTGATGCCCATAGGAGGCCTGCCCCTTTCTGAGCAGATATAGAGGAAGGGTGGGTTGAGAGGGGGATGGAGTGGGGGGAGGCTTCAGTCTGGGTGTAAAATAAATCAGTCAATAAATAAATGAAATAAAGTTTAAAAAAGAAAGGAAAGTTACTTGCCCAAAACAATGGAATTAGGTCCTTTATCTGACTACAGGCATGTACATATTTTAGGAGACAAACTTGGTGGCAAGGTAGTAAAAAACTATCTTTTTTTTAAAAAAAATGTATTTTATTTGGATTAAGTTTAGCTTGCATATATGCTTGTATACCATGTGAGTTCCTAGTGCCTTCGGTGGCCAGAAGAGAGCATCCCGTGCCCTGAAACTAGAATTGAGGACGAAGGGTGTCTCCTAGGAGTCAGTACTGGGGAAAGTACATTCTTGGGCAGAATGAGAGTCACCAGCGAGTGAACAGAGCCATGACTTATGGAGTGATTTATTTTTGTAGCCAACTGAGTGCTTGGGAAGCAGGAAAAAACTTGAGAAACGCTGATGTAAGTCATTGGGTTAACCTTTAGCAATAGCCCTCCAAGAAACAAAACAAACGTTATTTTTAAATACTTTATTTTCTTTGTAAAAATACCAATAAATATTTAAGCTTCTCAGTTCTAAGACATAGAAACATTAAATAAGCATTATGACTTACAGAAATCACTTAAAATGTCTAAGAAATATATAGAATATTACAATTCTTTAAGCTTCAACACAAAGTTGATCATTCATTGTAACACTGTGAAACCATTTCAATAAATAACAACTGATAAGCCTTTATCGGTACAAAAGCAGATTGCACATGCATTCCCTACATTGGAATGACTTCCTTTGCCTGTTGACTACCCCAGCTACCATCACAATGGTCAGCAGGAAATGCTTGCCTCGGAATATTAATGTAAAAATGAAAATCTTCAAATTAAGAATGGGGACTGATTAAATTTAGACTTCATATTAAATAAACAGTAAATACTATGGCATCTTGCAAGTAGATCCAACTATACCCTTAGTTATTTTATATGTAAAATATCAGCATAGAATTCGGGGAAAATCAATAAATATGGACTTTCAGGAGTTGTTCAAAGCCAGCAGGAGAAGCCTCATCTCGATGGCCACTGGCAGAGTCGTTCCTTTACTCTTTGCTCTGCAGGCAGGTCCTCCATCCTTTCCTGGCTCAGCTGGAGCTGGCGCTGTCAGGAGAAAACAGATGTCTTTATTAGGTGCACAGCTGTCTTCTTTCTCCTGGGTTTTCTGAGTACAGCCTGGCCCCAGTGGTCTCTGCCTGTGGCGCTGTGCCATAGTGCACACACCTCAGCCCTGGTAGATGCATTCCTTCAGGATGGAGGGAAGTGGGACCTCTGGTCTCAAAAAGCTAAGGCTGTGGTAGTTTGTCTGTTACACCAGGTCTCAGCTCTTTTATTAAGTCTCAAGCTAAATTTTACTGAAGTAGATGGATAACAGGTTTGGGCATATCTATATCTTTATCTATCTATCATCTATCTATCTATCTATCTATCTATCTACATACATAGTTACATACATATTGGGAGACCAAGGCAAATGAAAAATTTTTAAAAGCTGTGTTACCTACTCTTATTCAACGGAGATAAGCTACAGGTAGGGATACAAGCTCCTGGAAAAACCCTTCCAGCACCACGATACACTAATTAATTATCAGAAGGATTATTAGAATTGTAAAGATAATCATCACATTCTTAGCTCAGTGACTTTCCCTAAGGTAGTTTTCAGGAGTCAGAGGCCAGTACTAGGATGAGGCCCTGAGAGCGCAAACAAAGCATCACTCACGTCTTCGTCTTCAGGATCTTTTGGATGATCTTCTGAAGCCTAGGGCCTTCGGGATCCAGACAAAATTCTTTACCATTCTTGAGAGTGGCTCTGCAGAGAGAAAGGGGGACCCTTCTAAGCTGTGAGGTCCCACTGGAGAGAGCATGGGGCAGCAGGAGGGTCTGAGCGGCTCTGGCAGTGGCAGAGGCAGCCTGGGGAGACACTCACATGACTTCTGTCTGGGTGCAGTGGGGTCCTGAGGGCGTCACCTTCAAGCTCTGGATTTCCTCCAAAGCAATCCTTGGTATGGTGTTAGGGCACTTACAGCGCAGTTCACTGGCCACAATTGTTCCTGTGAGAAAAGACACTGGGTCAGTAGGGCTGTGGGAAGCTGCGCCCACCGTAGGCTCCTCCAGGGATGGTAGCCGCGGGTCCCACCTGTAGCCTGGTGGCTGGTGGCCAACAGCAGCAGCAACAGCAGCACTGCACTCAGGAGAGGACGTATGGCTGGGGCCATGGCGCTGAGTAGGAGTGTGGCTGGAGTCTGGAGTGGAGCTGGCTGGAGGCACTGTGGTGCGATCTGGAGCTCCAGGGCCCTGCAAGCCCCTTTTATGCATGGTGGCAGGAAAAGCCCCAGCCCAGGGCTGGGGAAATTCCTGGAGCTTCAGGTCTCTGTGTCAGAACAAAGATAGGGCCACACCCCTGAGCTCGTGGGATGAGTGTGTTGGGGACACGCGCGTGCTACTATACTAACTTCTCCCTCAGGTCCTGGATCCTGCTTGCCCACTGAGCAGCATGGGATGTTTGAGTTCTGCCTCACCCCAGCCCCAACCCCCAGCAAAGGACAGTAGGGCCGGAGCTGGAGTGACCCCCTGCGATGTGACCTTTGTGTAGGGACTGAAGCCTTGGAGGTGGAGGGAGGGAAGAGATGAGGTTGAAGGTAGAGAAATAAATCCGCCACTGGGTGGCGAGAGGCCAATAGCGGGAAAACAGCTACGTGAGAGTTTGGGGCTGAAGCATTTGCTGTTCAGGAAGAACTGGGAGAACCGAGCTTTTTACCAGTTTGTCTTGTGCATACATCCTTTCTGTCTCTGTCCTTAGCTGTTTTTAAGGTGAAGTTCTAAAGTCAAACCTTAGTTGGACCCCCAGTGATTTGCTTTATTTTGACGTTTTTACACCTACACACACACACACACACACACACACACGCACACACACACACACACACACACACACACACACACACACCATTGGATTCCCTCATAGTCACCACCTCACTGCCCTCTGCTCTTGCTGCTCCCCACCCCCGCTTCCAGTTGGTCCCTTATTTCCCCTCTGTATGTCATATATGCATACACACAGAAATCTAGATTCTTATATGGGAAAAAAACGTGCGATATTTGTCTTCCTGAAACTGGCTGTCTTCCTTTGGCATGTTCTGTGACATTCCATTCTTTGGGTCAGAATAGAACCCCACTGTGCACACATACCACGTTTTCCGTAGCTACTCCTTTGTTCATAGGCACCGAGCTGTTTCCAGATCTTACCTATTGTGAATTAAACTGCAACTTGCAGGGAGACACAGGACTCTATGATATCTTGCCTTTCCATATTTTTTTTAATTGTGCAAACTTCATATACTTCCGAAATCAGTTCTATTAAAAACTCAGCCAGCCCTGCAAACTTCAGAGGACACTTTCTTGGCTCCACCGTTTCATCTTTTCAAATATATATTTATATTTTTTTCTATTATTCGTCATGTTTATTTATTTTACATTCCAATCTCAATTTCCCCTCTCTCCTCTTCCCTGTTCCCTCCCCCACCTACCTTCTGCTCCCCTCCCCCATCCACTCCTACTCTGTCTCCATTCAGATGGGGTAAAGCCTCCCATGGGAATCAGCAATGCTAGCGTATCAAGTCGAGGCAGGACCAACCTCCTCCCCCCTTGCACCAAGGCTGAACAAGGCATCCCAACACAGGGAATAAAATACATTTGCAGTATCTTTTCAACTCAGTGGAAACAGAGATCAGCATCCACAGTTGAACTTGTGTTCACTTCAGTGAAGGGGGGCGGGGCTGTATCACGACTTCTTCATTATGAATCCTGCATAATTTCCTCCTTCCCTTTGTGGGGTTAGAACTTCTGAAATTGAAATTGCCCAAAGATCTGCTTTTCCTAACACAAGGGCTTCAGATGAGATCCTAGTGTTCGGGACCACTGCCCAAGCTCAGGCTTTGGAGGGGCAGGGGAGATAGCTGCACTGTGGTGCTCACCTCCTCGGCCTCTTTGGAAAACTGAACCCATAGACACAGTGGGGAGTGGGTACTCAGCATGCAGCACCTAGCGGGTACTCAGCTGCAGCACCTATGGGTACTCAGCTGCAGCACCTATGGGTACTCAGCTGCAGCACCTATAGGTACTCAGCATGCAGGCTCTCTATCCTTGGAGCAGAAAAACCTGATGGCGGGTGGCATAGAAAACAAATCGCACCTAAATTCCAATTCCCTTTGCTTCAGGTCTCTTGGGTGTTGGCTCATCTTTCCTGGAAATACTGACATGTCTTTCACATGATGGAGAATTTCATAATCTTTCAGTTTAACACCTGCATCATTTTCGGCCACAGGTTTTAGATTCAGATCAGGGTACAGAGGTTTTAAGAGTAACGTTGGCTTAAACCTCCCCCACAAAGACATAATAAGAGTGGGAAAAGGGAAAATGAATTCCCTGTTTTAGAGGCTCACCTCTCCAGGACAGTGTTCCACACAACCCAGGGAACCAAAACAGACCAGAGCCAGAGCCCTCAGCTCCCCACAGGGCGCAGAGCTCTGCCTGGACTGGGTTCCCTCAGACCATTTGCATCTAACAAGCCTTGGCATGCCTGTCTCAGTGTGGGCGTGAGACCGAGATAGAATTCTCCATTTGAAAAGAGCCAGCATGGTGCTCTACAGATGTTTGCTAAATAAGTAAAACAGGTACAAGTGTGTCCAGTATCGCCTAAACACAGCCCCAACATGTAGCTCTTTCCAGGAAAGAAGACTAAAATCTAACAGAAAAGAGCCTTCCCCAAGTTTTCTTCCACGCTGTTCCATTTGCCCCTAACTTTCAGTCTCCCACAGAGCATCCTAGGATGCAGCATCAATACGCTGCTGAACGCGGAGATGCTGAGGCAGACCCTAGTATAGATTGTTCGTATAGTGGCCACAGCATCAGGACCTGAAACTGCTGGTCATAACCGGTGCTTAGAGAGTGGAAACACCAGCAGACCGAAGCCTTGGTCAAGGTGTGCGGGCGAGGTATTGGGCAGCACACTCAGCAGAGCTGTGTTCTCCAGGACTTTCCACATCTCCTTTCCTACTCTTCCCGTCACTCCAGTTCCTCGTAGAAAGGGCACCTACACAGCACCAAGCGCTAATGGAGGTGGGAACATGAAGGTTCTCTAGTTATAAGTGGGCAGATTTAAAAAGAAAAATGATTGATTGAGTGAGTGAATGATTGACTGATTGAGACAGGATCTCTGTTTGTAGCCCAACCTGGGTTGGCACTTTCTATGTAGTCTAGGATGTTCTTGAACTTGTGGTAGACTTCCTGAATCTCCCTTCCAAGTGGTGGTATTACAGGCACACAACCGCCGTACTTAAGAATGTTGAAAAAAGTTCTAAATTAAAATAATCATTCAAAGGTTTACTAAGAAAGTAAAATAAATTGTGTTTAGGGATTTCTGGAAAAAAATGGCCATGCATACTCTACTGGAGGGTGCATTTAGACGGATTCTAAATGTGTGTGTGCGTGCATGTGTGTATGTGTGTGTGCTTGTGTGTAAGTGCATGTGTGTACGTGTGTGTATGTGTGTGTGCATGTGTGTACGTGTGTGCGTGTGTGTGATGAGAGGGCTAAATCATTGAATTATTTTGTCATCCTACCTTCATTTTGTCTATAAAAAGGAAGTTTGAGTAAATAACTGTCATATTTATTGGGAAGGATGCATGAGATTAATAATCTTTGTATTAATTCACTTGGTTCTTTGGTGATAAAATCCTGGTATAAGTCCATTCTGATTGTTCTTTCCCCCAGCTAACCAATCCCTGCCCCAGCTGCCTTTCAACAAGACCCCTCAAGGGTAACTAGAAAGAGTCTAGGAGGATTAAAATTTGTGTCAGGGAAAGGGAAATGAGACAGGAAAATCTGAAACCTATGACCCGCTGATGAATAGCACACATTTGACTGGGCCTCCTCTTCCTACTGTCACTGTTTTCCTAAGGTTTAATGGGAAGTCTGCCAAAATATTGAAATAGTTCTTTGAAATCTGAAAGATATGGCACAAAAATTTCTAATTGTAGCTGTAATATGTGCTTATTTTTTTTAAGGAATAAAAGGTGTGTTTGTTTATTTTAGTAAATTTTCATGCATCAAGCATGTGTCATTCAGTTAGCCCTGGATGAGGATACCCTGAAACATCAACAGAGAAATGTCAATATATGGAAACTGCCTAACACACAATCATTTCCATGTCCTTCCATAGAGTTAAGCATCCTGTGTAGTTGAGTATGAATGGGCTTTCCTCATGGGAAACACATAAGACAATACATTAAAGCACCCATCCCGTCTTTTCTTTTCTCACAGCAGTTATATTATTATCTTATTACTTTTTGCTTGTTTCTTATTAGTGTACATGCATTGTATAAAATGATGAACTCAATTCCATTTCATCCAATCTTAAAATGTTATGATGGACCCTTTCTATCAAAAAAAAAAAGAAATATGACAGGAAATATGTGCTTATTTTTATAAGGTTAATAAAGCCAGAAAGGCATGGGTTTTTTTTTCCTAACCGTTCTTAACTTTTTCTCTTCACATTTCTATCTAATTTATATTAATTTTTTTTAATTTAGTACATTTATTATAAAATTTTGGTTACTAGTTTATTATGTAACTTATTTAAGGCATTACTATATTTAGTCCTTGGAAAATGTTGGCATCATTACATTCCATTTTTACATAAGAAAATTAAGACTTAAGGAGGTCAGATACCTTGTCCAAGATTATGTCCCTAATTTTATGCTTGATTCAAGTTCTTTCTTTAGACTCTTTGCTCATTTTTTTGTTTTTTTATTGCTTATGTTTTTCATTATGCTATCCACCTCTCCTGTCCATAGCTGTATCTAATGCATATCATTTCTATATCTCCTTTTTCTATATCACACATTTGTTGCCAGGTGTCCACAGGAATAGGAGCTGTGTTTGGTGATGAACAGCTGGGTTTTTTTTTCCTTTCTCTTCCACTACTCAGAAAGTCATTGACAGCAAAGGCTAGAGGGCCGATCTCACAAGGTAGCTCTAGTAGTGCCAATCATCAAGTTCAAATATAATCACATTCAGTGAGAGAAAGATCTTATCTTTTTCTTTTTATCTGATTTAATTTATAACTATTTCCTATTATTGGAAAATAGATTTCTTCTCTCATAAAAAATATCCTGATTACAGTTTCCCCTTTGTCTCTTCCTCCCCTCTTCCCCTC